TTTTTTTCGTTTCCCATTCGGTATCCGGGACTTTACACCAACTAATCCAGACCGACTCAACTCGCGCACCTGAAAATGATGAGTAAATCTCCCAACAAAAACTGCTACATACAAGATCTCAAACTCAAAATTTTATTTAAACTGAAACAAACCACTTATCACTTGATCCAACCCCTCGTTGGCTAAATAGAAACTTTGACCTACATCGAATTGAGGTTGCTTTTCATTTTGGATTGTTTCACTGCAGCCTAGAGGTGGAGTAGGGGTGAGGGGGATTAAGAGAGATGAAAAAGGCCGGAGAAGAAGGTGGAGGATATTTTTGTCCTTTTAAGTTCTTATTTTTATTATATAATGAAGGAGAAAAAATATCTAAATGTCTTTTTTATTGTCCATGTCAGCGCCAAGTAAGCAGCCTTTAACGAAGCATCAGAGTGGAAGATGGGAAGATAACGTTTTCTAACGTCATCCTTAATAAAAGGGTGAGTACTGGAGGGTTGATTTGCACTACTTCTTAATAGAGGGGCTGATCTAGCACAACATCTAAAGTAAAGGGGTCCAATTGGACCTTCTACCGAAGAAGAACTGGTAAAGTATGTCAAATCAACTGGAGAAAAGATTTAAAGAAGGGTGCAACTTTAGTCATTTCACCCTGAAACTTTGTCCAGAGAGTAACTGTTTCTTGATGAGAGACTTCAGAAACTCATGTTATTCTATGGGACCCTCCCAACATGGTGCGTTGTATTTTCCTATTGAAGACTGAAGAGAGATGCCTCTGCATCTGTGCCTTCTCCCTCCTTATTTCTCTTAATTTCTAAACTCCCTTTCACAATTCCCATCTCTTCCCAAAACTCTGAAAAAACCTACATGTGTTTTGAATTAGAGACAAGACTGGTCATGGCTTCATCAAGAAAGAGCCCAATAGGGCTGAAGATTTTAGTGACTCTGATGCTCATCCTGTTCTCATTTTTCCCTTTTAAATCAGGTAAAAAGGAAGGAAATCCATTCAAGTTTGACCATAACACAGAGTGTAGGAAGTGGGTTCTGATGAATTTCTTCATGTTTGTTTGTTTGTTTGTCTGCAGTTGGGTCAGTGTTTGGGAGAGGGAAGCCAATGAAAATGGTGTTGGGTTCAAGGCCTCCAATGTGTGTGAACAAGTGCTTGAGTTGCAGACCATGCATGGCTGCTTTGGTTACTCCTCCACACCACCAAATTGATTTGAGAAGATATCAGGGAGATGAAAGTTACTATCTGCTGGCATGGAAGTGCAAATGTGGAGACAAGTTCTATCAACCTTGAAGATTATTGTATAGTATGAGCTGAAGCTAGCTAGCTAGTTCCTTAGCTGAGAAAAAAGAGGGAAAGTAGAAGCTAAGTTGTAGTGGAGACTGAAGAGATTCGGCCTATTTGTATCCTTTGTATTTAACTCTAGAAATAACTTTTATGGCAAATGGCAAGCACTCTCTATCAATCTAGACTACAGAGAATATTAATGATATATCTTGTATTTATTCTAGCCCTATAAATTTTGGTTAAGGTTATATAAAACAATGGGACATGGCTGTGTCATTATTAATGAGAAAAAGTTAAAAGCAGTGTTCTTCAATATCACCAGTGGAAGCATGTGGTTTTTCAATGAGATTTTTTTCTTTTTTTGATAAAATGTTTTTCAATGAGATTTACATGTATCAGAATTGCATTTAGCTTTCAATCAAATATATCTTGGTATTAGATGGCCAAAAAAGTAAAAAATTTGGATCTTCGAGGGTCACAAGTTTATGATTCTAGTTTTAAGACAACACACAAAGTCGTTGTACTCTTGTTCAGGTGCCTTTTTAAGATTCTATGTAGAAAGATTAATCTTTAAATACGCACCAGTTAAGCCCAAAAATCACCTGCCTGTTAATAAAAAATAACTTCGATTTTTAGTTATCCTGTAGCTTCACAATATATATGGATGTTAATCCTGCCATTGCCCTCACTGTACGTTGGTCTATTGGTGCACAACTGCGCTAGGAAATTTGAAAATAAGCTTTCTTCGTACGGCGTCTCCAATAAGAAAGATTAAAGTAGTCATCTTCAAGAATTCACACAGTAAAGGAGACTTCACACTACGAGCCCAAACGAGACTCTTACACAGGAACAGCAAGAAAAATTAATGTGACTTCAAATGGCAGAAAGTGAGGGAGGGTTGGAGAGAAATTAACAAGAAAAAATCAGTAAAGCAAACAATTTAAGCCAAATATTGAATTTTTATTGCTAAGTAGCCAAGTAGTTGCAGAGTACATTTCATATACAAGAGAAGCCTGCAGAACTAGGACATGAAAAACAGAACAAAAAACAACCAAAACCAAGGTTGTAACCACCGCTAATCTGCAGCACTCAAAACATAAACTGTTTCAAGCAACCAGAGAGACTCACAAGAGAAAACCACAGCTAAGACAACAGACTCAAAACAAACCATCTGGTGCACTACAAAGCAACACACCAGATAGGAGAGTTCTAGCAAATTCAAACCAGTATAGGGAAGCCAAAACCGTGACTTGGTAACTGAGTTTGGGAATCATGGCTATGAAAAATGCAGCCCTCTATGAAGAGAGGGCTAAAAAGTTCAAACAGGCTTCCTCATGCAAAGGAAGCCTGCAAAAAGATGGATGAAGTCATCTGCCATAATTCCCTGAAAAAGTAAATGAGCCACGGAGCCCTCCACAGTCTGGTTTGATGGACCAAAAACTTTGCTTAATGCTGCTACCCACGTGAGCTGATTATTACTGTAGTGTTCTACCCGACCTGGTTAGACATCCTTTATCCTTGATCAGAAAAGGATATCACATCTCCACAAACTCTCCATAAGCAGCTCAACAGTTCTAGAGCTGAGTGAATTGCAGTTTTGAAGATTCAAACCAATCAGGGTCTTGCCCAATTTTTTTAGGAAAGGGATGCTCTTGTTTGAAACTCCAGAACAAGCTGACAAGGAAAGAACTTGCAAACTGAGTTGCTCTGCAGAAGACAAGGCTGCAATGCTTAAATCCGTGATTGCACATCTTGACACATCAAGATCACTTAGAAAAAGACAGTTGTCAGCAACTGCTACCAAGCTTGCATCAGTGATCCTTCTACAACCATCAAGATTGAGTAGCTCAAGAGTTGCACCGTGTAGCCTAGTCAAGGCCAACACAACTTCATCTGTCAAATTTAAGCAGCCACTAAGATTCATCTTCACGAGCCCTGCCTCACAACTCTCCAGCAGTGGGAGAAGACCTGCATCTGTGATTCCACAAAGCCCACTGAGCTCCACATGCTGAAGCTGAGGGCATAATTTTCCTACTGTAGCCAGGATACCACTCCCAAATCCTTGACAGTTACGCACAGACAAGGATTTAAGAGAACTGCAAGGAGAGGAAAATGGAGTTTCAGAAGCGACATCCTTGATTCCCATGCACTTGACTAGGGCAAGGGACTTCAACTTCAGTCCAGTGTTTGAAAGGATACCAACAATCCCAGATTGTGTGACCCTATTGCATTCCTCCAGTTGCAGGCACTCAAGTGATCCTGCACCTTTGACAAAAGGCACCAGTCCATTGTCTGAAACAAAGCAACACTTCCGAAGGCACATCTGCCTCAGATTTGCACAACCCTTTCCCATGGCTTCAAGACTCACATCTGTTACCCCGCGACAAGAAGTAATTGCCAAGGAAATCAACTTTTGCAAACCCTGAGCATTACCCATGACCCAAAATCCCTTCTCAGTCACATTTTGCAGACCACTGAGGACTAAATTTGTCACAGACTTGCCATAGTGCCCTATAACAGCAAGGGAGAAATCTGTGATGTTCAAGGCCTGAAGCTTAACCTTTGTAAGAGAAGAAGATCCTGATGAGAACAGACAAGATACTCCTTGATCCCCAACAAGCGGGCAGTCTTTGATCGAGATGGACTGCAGTCTGGGGCAAAGCTTTCCAATAGCTTGCAGACCCTCATTACCAATTTTTGAACAAGATTCAATCTCTAAAGCTGTCAAATTGGGACAATTCTCCGCAATTGCAATCAAACCTTTATTGGAAATGGAAGGACAGTGGCAAAGGTCAAGCTTCTCCAAGGAATGACACTCTTTAGCTATCTCAGACAGGCCTTCATCCCCGATGCGTGGAACATTCCACAAAGAGAGCACCTTGAGAGAAGGGCAACCACGGGCTATTGCTGATAGACCAAAGTCTGTCACTCCACGAGAAGAGTTGCTCCCCCTAATTGAAAGCTTTCCCAACCCCCCATGACCACTTGTTCCGACAGCAATTGCAGCAAGTCTCAAATCAGTAGCCTTCTTCCCTTCCAAGCACCTGGTAAGGCACCCATCATCTTCATCAGTTGAGATCATTTCCACATCATCAGAAACAGAGATCTCCTCATCCACCTTTGATGACTCATCGTTTTTGCACTTGAAAAATTCACCCTTGCGAATACTGGTCAGAAGCATAAGCCAATGTTTTGAGACAGAAGCACAGGAGATCTTTTCTTGGCCTCCAGGTAGGCGTCTAAAGATCTCGTATAGGCATTCATCGGGAAGAACAGAAATGGATGATTGCTTAGACTGCTCAAAGTCAGTTTCTCCAAACAGAAATGGGGCACTAATTCGAGCTCTCTTACAAGGACGGAAGTAAACATCCACATGGGAACTAATTGAGCACGGTCTACCCATTTCCATGGAATTTGCATGAAAGGAACCCCCTGAATAGAATTCATCATCACCTGAAATACCAAATAAGAAGAAGCATGATTAACTAAAATTGTCTGATAAATATGCCAAAAATAGCAGATATTTAACATCTTTCAGGAAAAAATATATATATCTCAGAAAGAAAACAGTCAACACCCCTCAAACAGATCCTTCTGACCATAAATCCTCAGAAATCAAGTCCTAAGCAAAAAGTTTCATACATCAATTCACTACTAAATTTGCTTTCAAAAATTATAGTGGCATCGCACCTAAAATTCTATTTTGCCATTTCTGAATCAACTTGTACATAAATAAAGGTAGACACTTTCTAAGAAGATCAGGTTTTAGAGCATCATGGATCATGAAAATTGAAAACCCAACAATGAAACCCTTCTAAACTCCAACAAACAAGGTCGATTCCTATAAGTTATCTTCATCTGAAGATGGAAAAATACTCAATTCAAGCTAATATATCAAGCCTAATTTCAAACTAACAATAGCACCCAGATATAAAAATCAGAAATAAACGCCAACCCAGTTGAACAAAAACAGAATAAAATAAGGAGAAAAAGAAAGAAAGATAAAAAGTTACCACCGCAATTGACAAGAGCAGGCATGGTTGAATCTTAGAAAAGAAACACCCTTGAAGAGCCTCAAAATCAAAGGAACTAATCACAAAAATCAACAGGAATACGCAGACTAGATAAAACCCTTGAAAGCTTGAATGCATCAGAGAAGGAGGAGCTTCTGAGAGAATTCTAGAACCCCAGCGAGCGGGGCAAAAAAGAAGAAGAAGAAGAATAAAAGTGGTTTTGCGTTCTGCGTTTGGGTAACACAGGGAAGCATATATATTTAGTCGCGCTAAGGGGTGGGGGAGACGTCGTGTTGAGAATTCATCATCTTTGACAGATACATTAACTGACAACTTTCGCTATATCTACATGCAATGAATCTTTCTTAGTCCAACCAACACCACCTCTGTTTACCGGCTACATTTTTCACATTTATGGTCTTTTATTATTATTATTTTTCTTCAAAAGTTTAGAAATTGGGATTTTGCTGAACTGGTCTTTTGGTCAAGTGACTTTTATTTTTGTAATGGCTCATATCTCTTTTTAAAGATAATGGTTTGAATCGATCTCATAATTAAATATTTAAAAAAAAATAGTATTTTGCTACCAACCATGGTCATATTTGTGGTGTTATTATGGACAATATTGTAATATCGATTTTGATGAGGCATTGGCTAGGACAATTTTATTTATTTATTTATTTATTTTATTTTATTTTGTTATAGTTAGGGGCATTTTTCCTACTTAAAATTTTGTAGGGAATTTCCCAAGAAGCTTCAAGGGGCATTTCTATCCTCATAAAAAATTTAAAAATGATATTAAATTTTAGTATCTAACCCATGCCCATTTACTCATTTTTAATCAAAATTCACTTCTAAAACTCACTTTTTTTTAATTAAACCCAACTTATTAGTAAGTTTAATTTTAAACAGTGAAAAATAAAAATAAATTAAGTGAAGATTTGAAGAATCAAAAAACCTATTTATTTTGCTTTCTTTATATGAATAAGTTTCTTTTAGTTTTTTTAATTTTGCTTGGCTAGGACTATGGTTCCTCACGAAAAATCCTCATGAGGGTCAGAGACAAAAAAGTAGAACCAATCCCTAATTTAATTAGAAAAAACAGTTGTCACTAACAACTAAGTTTTTTTGTTTGGTTTAATAGTTTAAGAATAACTAATAGAAGATTTTTAATTGTTTATATATTTTTGTTATTGTTTATAATCCAAATATTATAAACCATTAGATATTGATTATCACATATAGACAGTTCAAAATAACTACGTGAAAGATAATCTAAACTAAATAAGTCTAAAATCAACTAATCTTTAGGAAATGTACCATTCATCCATTTGCTTTCCTGATACACAAGGGAAGTTTGTTTGATTCATAGAAATTTATTAAAAAAATGTTAGATGTGCATGAACAATACAAAGTACAATATGGACCGTCCAAAGAAAGCCTAAATTACGTGTAAAAATGAAATATTCAGAGCTAGCCAAGCAATATGGAGAACTTCACTTTAAACTTTAAAAAGCTTGGGATAACTAGAATCTTCAAGAGAAAAAGAAAATTCCAACCTTTGATCTAGATGGATTAGGAGGATAAGACCTTGTTTGTCAAAGAACAAGTTGGTACGTGCAAACATTCAATTTTTTATGGATTTGTTGGGTTAATTGTACATAGCCGTGGTACATGCACAGTTGCAGTGGGGCCGATGGATTGAGTCCAATGTTTTTCCAGCTACGGAACTTCGAAATTAGGAATCTTAGTTGCACTTTCCAGCTCCATTCCATAGCCCAACAGAATCAAGGACATCAACTTGTCTTGAGAAAACTTTTGGTTAAAGGGATTGTTCCGTTGGATTAGCTGCACTTGACAGCCAAGCCAAACAAAGATACTACTTTCATCCAAGAAAATGATGTTTGGCAACTTGGAATTAATTGTATATATCTTATATTCTTGGAACTTGGAATGACATTGTAGGGACTCCGGATTTAGATTTTGAAATTTTAACAATAAATATCTCTTTCTTTTGAAATTTTTTAGAAAATTTTTAGAAGGGAATGCAAAAATCAGAATAGTCTGATATTTAAAAGAAATTTTTTTTTTTATGATACGTCTATCAACATTTTTTTTATTATTTAATGAAGATGTAATTTGTAATTTTATATTAAAAAAATATTCTAATAAAATTTATTGTAAGTGTATTAGAAATTTTTGTAATGTTTATAATATCTTTTTTTAGATGTAATAGTTAAAATATTAAATTTTTATTAATAATAGTTAAATAAATTATCATAAAATTAAAAAATAACAATCAAAATGCTCTCTACATAATTTTCTCAGTATTTTTTTCATCATTAGAGGTGAATGTATTTTGTTCAATTTCAAATCACTAAATATTTAAAATAAGTTTTTTAATTAATTCAGTTAAAATTTTAATTTGTTGAAATATTTCAATTTGATTAATGATAAAGGAACTCTCTTTCTTTTTTTTTTTTTTTGTTAAAAAGATTAAAAGAAATTTGTTAATTGAATATTACAAAAAAAATCAAAATTTTGGTAATCAAAACTGAAATTTTAAATTAGATTCAATTATTAAAATAAAAATAATTAACCAGAGTAATAAAAGATAAGAGAGAAAGTTTCACTTATTGTTCTTTTTAAAAAATTTAATATTTATTTAATTAAAATTAATGAGTATTTAATGTTTTAATTATTTGTCGAAAAAATAAAAGTACCATATCTTTTAAAAAGTTTTAATACACTTATGAAAAATATAGTTAGAGCGTTTTTTTATTCTATAAGGCTTACATTGCTACTTTCGCTTAATTTGAAAGAAAAGTTTGTTGAACCCAATACAAAGAATTTTCCCTATTTAAAATGCTAAGAGGCACTAGAATTTATTTAAATATCTTTAACGAATTTTTCTTGTATATTAATTTATTAAAAATATTTAAATAATTTTATAAAGAATCTTAACATTTTAATTATTAAAACATTTTGATTTTCTACAATCTCATTTTTAAAATAGATCTTAAAGCTTCAAAGGATTTGGATTTTTTTTAATCAGAGTTAGAATTTTATTGACATATAAAAACCATTAGGGCTATACGATGAACCTAAACATAAATGTATAGGGTAACACGTCAAAGGTATTATATTAATAAAATGCATGAAAGTGCAAAATCATATAATCTAATATCTACACAAACATCATAGTTAAATTTAACCTTAAGATTTAATAATTAAATCACATTTTAGCATAATTCATCTAAACTGATTAAATATTCAAGGAGGAAGCTATTTCCATTGACAAGGTTGTGAAGCTATTAAATATAGATCTTATTCATGGATTAAAACAACATTGTGGCCTGACTTGCTGCTTGATATATGGTGTAAATCTCCCAACGAAGCATTAAGGCAGATTTAGAGACTTTAACTGATTTTTTACGGTCAGCATTTTTGCACCTATAAGTTTGCATAAGTTAGCAAGACTTTTTAAGATGAAAATTTCTGGATTTGAATTTTTGTTTTTTTAATTGACAAAAAAATTCATCTAAATAAAAGATAAATTAATTTTTTTGGCAAAATATTTAGTTATGGACCTATCCGCAACCATATCTTTAATAATCAAAGCAAATATGATAGCTAATATGAGTTTAATTAATCTCATGTTCAAATTATCAACCTTTTTTATAAAAGCAAATCCCAATAAAAAACATAAAAAAAAAAAAAAAAGTGAAGGTAGAAATTCTCAAAAAAAGAAGAAGAAGAGAAATTAACCTTCAAAAGAGAGGAAAAAATCCTAATAAGAGATGAAAAAACTCTTAACTTTAGTCATCCAACTTAACTATAACTAATGAGAATCCCAAAAAAAACAATGAGACCTACTACAACATGACAAGAGATTTCTGGTACATGTGGGTCATCTTGATTCCCATCAATAACTACTTCTCTCCACTAAGGGGTATAGTAGGTAGGACAAGGAAGAAAATAAGAAAAAGAAAACAAGAGAAAAGGGAGAGTGCAAGAGAAGGGAGGGGGCTCAAGTATTTGGCCTTTGATATATTGAAATTAATTATTTTGAAACCTCAAGATTTTAGCGTCTTTACATATTGCTTTGTTAAGCTAACATT